TTCGTTTAATTATCTATGTAGCCCTATAGCTTTCTGTCTAAGAAGTATCTATGTGTATATTCGTATGTATATATGTATGCATGTATGCATGTATGTATGTATGTAAGTACGTATGCATGTATTTAAGTACGAATATATATATATATATATAGGTATATATCAATATAAATGTGTGTGTGTATTTAGGTATGTACATATATATATATATATATATATATATATATATATATATATATATATATATATATATATATATATATATGTATATGTTTATATAGATAGATAGATATATATATATATATATGTGTGTGTGTGTGTGTGTGTGTCATATATATGTTATATATATTATATATAGTATATATATGCATCTTTACATACATACATACAAACATACATACAGACGTACACTCACATATACATTCATTTACATACACTAACATACATACGTACATACATACACATATAAATATACACTTACATACATATGTAAATATATATTTTCCTGTATACATACACATATACATATATACATTGATAAATACATACATATATACGTACATACATCCATAAATACATACATATACACATCCACACACCTATATATATATACACACACACATATATTTATATGTATGTATGTATATATGTATGTATGTATGTTAAATATATATGTATAGTATATATATATATACATATATATATTTGTATGTACACACACACACCTATATATATATATGAGTGTGTGTGTATTGTTTTTAAACTTATAAACAATTATATATATATATATATATATATATATGTTATACGCCTGCAGGGATATTTATTTACATATTTACATAGACATGTTTATATAAATATTTCTGTAAGTATGGCTGTATATCGATCTATGTAACATATTCAGAGTGTAGATGGTGGAGTGAAAGAGGAGGACGATGAGGAGGATCCATATGAAGTGGCAGTGAAACAGTCGGGATGCGAAACTGAGCACTACGATCTCATGGACTGCATGGGAGAAGGCGACTGGCGCAAGTGCCAAGATAAAGTATATGATACAACAATTACGGATTTTTCGCGGAATGCGATGTACTCGCTGTATGCTGCTCTATATTGACTTTTAGCCTCATGTTATGCACACATTTTTTTGTATCCATCTTAAGAACTTATCATATTCAAAGATACACGACGCACACGATATGCATAATATAAATAATGTTATAATAAATATATATATATATATATATATATACAATATATATATATACTTGTACTTATATTTATATATATATATATATATATATATATATGTATCTATGTATATATATATATATATCTATCTATGTATGTATCTATGTGTATGTGTATGTATATGTATACACACACACATATATATATATATATAACTATATATATATAGACATATATATATATATATATATATATATAAACACACACACATATATATATATATATATATATAATACTTTACATATATAGTATATTGTTATATTCTGTACCTGTTTACAAACACGCACGCATACGGATACCTACGGTATAGTATTTGATGCCTACATCTTTATTTTTATTAAAACATATAACCGTACACGTTGATAAGCACGTAGCAATTTGAGATTTGTGACATCAAACGCAGCTTGTTTGAAATATTTGCCCTCAAATATACTTAATTTTAGCTTTTATCAGATTTGTCCAAATGGTATCACTATGCCTACATACACTGTATATTTTAAAACCCTAAATAAAACGCTCAGTCATAGTCATTGCCTAACGAAATTCCCCACCGACTGGTATGTACTTACACATCGTGTGTGTACAATAACACGCAGCACCACTGAGCGTTCCAGTCATGAACACGTAGCATATTCTTTAACTTTTGTATTTGCACAAACCCGTTTGAGTGTAAAACTTGCAGAGTAACCCATAAGTGGGGGATTGGTCATATCGAAGTCTTCTAATTGAGTTCAATATTGTTACCATTAAATACAGGTCAAAGCTTTCAAGATATGCTACGACACGCATAAGAAGAAGGCAATGTAATGATACTTAGTAGCCACAGCAAGGCGAAGTGTGCATAAATATGAAAAGTTGAGTTATCTGCGATACTACATATTCTGAAAATACATAGCCATGGCCCTCTGGACTGCTGGAGGCTGGCGTCGGGCGTCTAAAATTCCGTTCGAAACTACGTGTCTCTGAGACTCTGGCAGTCTGGGCCTCTGGGGCAGGGTGCTGCATAAATATTTTCGATAGAATTTGTGTTTCGTTTGTTTTTTTTTAACAAAATGATAAATATTTATAAATAGTTCTGGAGTCCAACATTTATTGGAAAGTTTTAAACATGAACAAATCAATTTTATATGTAAATATAAAATTTAGTCTTCCAAACTTCTAAACTTCCAAAAAAAATTGTTTATGACGCAAAAGTGTATATATATAAATATTTAAGTCAGACTGTCAGAATTGATGAGACTTCAGACTTCAGACTTCAGAATTCAGAATTTCCTACTGTCAAGTGCCAAATGTTAGAGTGACACCAATGACCATAATCCATACCCTTCTGGAAATTGAACAGTCAGACAGTCACAGCCTTGTTGTGGGCATGGCCTACACCAGCTGCACAGGCCACAGGGGCCCAGGGCGCGCCTGAGCGCAAGGAGCGCATAAAAGCCATAGCGGGTTGCGGCACAGGCCATAGACGGCACCGCGTCGACCGCGGCAGTCGGCACTCGGCACAGCTGACGGACAAGTAACAACCTGACGATTGTCGTGATCGTCATTCGTCATTCGACAATTCGTCACACACTGCACATTGTACAACAGTGGGAATGGATTTATGACGACACGAAAAATTTCAGAATTTTAACAGACTGCCATTCAATTTTAAACGCACTTCTGTATGGATGAATTGTATTTTAAGCGAATCAGATAATAGTAAACTAAATCATTGGCGAATAATTGTATGTAATACACTATACTGCATAGTTGCTAAGGAGAACAGAGCAACCCGAAGAAAAGCTAATCCCATGATTCGTGTGCAACTACTAAGGAATGTTTTACTCTCAATCACGTTTAAGCGCGTTTGATTGGCGATAGTACAAAAAGCCAATATTTTTTAATTTTGTTCGGACAATGACAGTCTGACACATTGACATTTGACAACTATGGATGAAATTTTGAAGGACTAGGTTACTAAGTATGTATGTATTTATGAACCAGTGCTTCATCATCAAATTATAACATTTGATCATTGATGTATTTCAATGTGGAATGGAGTCGATAGACTGACAAGAGAGAGCAAATAGGAAAAGCTGTCTAAACAGCAATTATATCCCCCTATGAATGTGCTTGCATATTTGTGATATGCATTTTGTCATATTAGCCGCTTTTGCCAACAACTTTGAACAAATTGTATAATAAACAGTATTTCTCCCGCTTCCTGTGCATTCATATTCTCTCTATCTCTCTACCAGTCGTGTTTAGAATATTTGATAAATTTCAGTGAAGAATCATGATTAAAGTTGCAACATTCGCGTTGGCGTGCTTCGTAGCCGTATCAGCGGGCTCTGTCAAGCTGCAAACTCCCACTGAAGAGTTAGTGATGAAACAGCCTGCGACTGGTAAGCCCTACTATGCAAGCTGAGGCTTTTGAGTAAGATTTGAATCCGGGTATGTCACACCGCATCTAAATGTTAACTCTCTTGAACTTTCTGTACGGCAGCCTGTTTGAGATTTATTCCTCATTATATATGTAGATGTCTCCAACGAGTATATAGATATATATATATATATACATATATATATATATATATATATATATATATATATATATATATCTCTATCTATCCATCTATATCTATCTATCTATCTATATATATATGTATATATGTATATATGTATATATGTATATATATATATATATATATATATATATATATATATATATATAATATTGTTGTTTCAGCATATGTTTTGACCCGGTACTCGTTATCATTTATTAACAATCAACTAACTAGCTCCGGAAGATCAAGTGTACCACCACACTCGCGGTAGCGAGTTTTACCATCCAAAGGGCCACACAAAGCACGAAGATTACCACTCGCATTTGCCCCAAGAATACACCGAGAAGCACGAGTTACCAACCAATTTTAACTGGGGAAATATCAATGGGCGCTCGATGTTGACCAAACCTCTCAATCAGCACATTCCCCAGTACTGCGGCTCCTGCTGGTAAGTTGGTGTAGGTCGTGGTGAAATTAGTTGTTACCCCTTTTTTTGTGATATGCGATTTCTCAGCGTAGCTCCGTTCATAAACCCCTTGTTTCATCTTGGCGGCCTAGTCACTGTTTAATTACCATGTAATCTACCCGATATCACCTAGCTTATATACAAAACTTGATTTTCAGGGCTCACGGAGCTATGTCTTCGTTTGCTGACCGCATTAAGATTGCTCGCGATGCTAAGGGTAGTGACATTAACCTCGCAATCCAGTTCATCCTCAATTGTGGTACCGATGTGGGTATGTAGCTCTTGCTACATTTTGGTGTGCATATTTACATTTTTGCCTTTGATACACCAGTTGTCGTTTGTTATTGTTCTGCCTTTCTAATCGTACTTCTGTGCTGTGACTGAGGTTTGCCACTCGTTTGTCTGTTTACTAGCTGTTTTGGGTGTATAGCCTATGGCTTACAACATCGCCCATGAATCCCTGTGCCTTATGCCTAACGATTACAATCATTTTTTCAATGCGTACAGCGGGTAGTTGCCATGGTGGTTCACACACCGGAGCGTACAACTTTGTTAAGAACTACGCCAAGCACATTCCCTATGATACTTGTCTACAGTACGAGGCGTGTTCTGCCGAGTCAACTGAGGGCACCTGCAAAGATCGTGACTTCACTTGCACTGGTGCCAATACCTGCCGCACGTGCTCCACGTTCACGGTAGGTTTGGAATATCGGCCGTTTGTACCACGCACATTTAAATGCCTATCACTTATATATATATACATATATTACGAAATTAGTTTGTGCCTCTGGATGATAAAAAAAACTTAATGTTCAAAGATTGTCTGATGGATTAGATTCAGTTTTTATGTTCGCCCTTACTCTATTCGCTGCTACTTACAATAGGTGGTAGTCTGTTTTTTAATCGTTGCTATCTAACTGTCTCTAGTCCTGGTGCCCCATTTTACTCGGGCAGAGGTGTTTGGCTGGAGTTATAATACGTTCGAGTTTATTGCATACTTTTTCTTGGTAATTGTTATGTATTTTATATGTAAATAGAACATCTGCAGCCCACTTACTCTGCTTTACTTACTACACAGGCATACGGTGGGTTCTGCTCGGAGGTAGATAGATATCCTAATGCAACTATCGCCGAGTACGGTAACGTTGTCGGCGAATACAACATGATGGCTGAGATTTACCGCAGGTATGCTTAATCAATATATTTCTTGTAAATGTACGGGGTATTCATCTGTCATGACTTTTCCTCAGCTGTGTTTAATATGCGGTAAGTGTGCTCAAATCACTAAGATAATCTGCTATTTTGTACTGTAGAGGACCTATCGCATGTGGAATCGATGCCAGTCCCGTGGACAACTACAAGGGCGGTATTGTGGACAATACAAGTGCTAAGAGCATCAACCACATAATAAGTGTAGTTGGATGGGGTGTCGACAAGAAGACTGACACACCTTACTGGATCGTCAGAAACTCTTGGGTATGTATTTGAATAGCTTGTGTCAGCAGACTTGCTTTACATATATATATGTGTGTGTGTGTGTTTGTATGGAAATGTCTATATATTTATGTGCATGTGCGTGTGTTCTATATCGATAAGAGATTGATTCGTCATAGAGATGGCCGGTGAGCATGTAACAGATCTTCTCTGGTCAGAAGTATCAATGGTATTCGGTTCCATATTTAGTACAATTGGGCCCTGTTGCCCGGCAACATGGATTATAGGAGAAAAAATCCCCTTTTTTTATCGTCTACTTTTCAGCCTCGGTTTATCGTTGGATTTGGTTTTCGAAGAGCGTCGGCACTGGTACTCGACTACTCTTGCATCCCTATATGTTTTAGGATCTGCCTATCATTCCTTATCATGCGCTGGTAGCTGCTGAGATAGTCATATTTTCACAAACGAGGCACTCATGGCGAATATATATATATATATATCGTTCCTAATTAATTATTGTAGGGAGAGTACTGGGGTGAGATGGGTTACTTCCGCGTAAAGCGTGGCGAGAACCAACTTGCTATTGAGTCAAGCTGTGCTTGGGCCACACCCGGAACCTGGACTGAGATGAACTTCCGTAAGTTGATCATTTCGTTTCAATGGTGGTATTATTATTTTTGTTCGTTGAAGCCTGCAGCTTTATATTGTCTAGTACCGCAACATGCTATTCGCGCACTGGCTTGATACCATACAGAGAAGAAGTCATTTGTGTCTGTGGGCAGATTCGAGGCATTGGTTAGTCGATACGAACTAACCGATCATGCCAACATATATAGATTCGAATGATGGCTTCCAGTCGCTAAACCCTATAAACCCTTTATATATAGCTTGTTATGAGGATGGCTCCAACTGCGTCAGTCACAAGAAGTACGAAGATCCCTCCAAGAAGTACCACAAGGACGAGTAAGTGAAGTGAGGGAACGGCTACCGGCCCGCAGACGGGCTGTGAGCCGTAGCTGGTGTATGTATTTCTAGCAAGGCCTATAGACCAATTAGCTCTGGTAAGGTCTGTGAACCGTATCTGACCTATGTAGTATTATCCCCAAAAACCCCCCGACTGAAATATTCACGGAAAGTAAAGGTCGACGAGCACATAAGCAGTGACTATACGAACTGTATGTAGTTCTAACAAAATAATTAAATGAAAATGACTGAAATATCCACGGTACATAGATGTCAACGAAAACGTAGGCAGGGACACGATCAGCAGTGGGTAACTTTGTAACTATAATGGACGCGATTCGTCATGACATCTACCGAGGGCAGTTATGTTGTACCGAGAACCATACTTAACTCGAACAAGAACCAGCTGACAGTCATTCGACAAATTAACTGGGTTAGAGCTAGGGTTTTCTTATCGATAAGGCGCAGTGAATTGTTGAGCGCTCTTCCCGTGTAGCTAAATATCATTGCGGTGACGCCTGAGTACTATATCTCAGCTTGTCGAAGCTATGGCTCGGAACGCGTATTTCAATTGTCATTCTGACTTCGACATTGCTGGACTCTCTTTTTATTATAAACCTATCATAAAGGTGGCTAATATCTCCACCTTTGGTATTTCAGGGCAAATCTGATGACTTCTCTCTAAACAGACGTCCGACGAGTGAGGGCTATTAGAGAGACCCTTATTGAACGCGGCGTGTAAATGCAATATGAATGTGAGAATACTAGAAAAACGAAGTCGTATAGTCGTACTAGTGTTATCTTGATGTTCTGGGCTCCATACTCAGATACATATCAACAATTAGAAAAGAAAAAATCACACCCGTACATCGAGCAACCTCACTTCAGCTTGAAATAGACGCCCTCCGTCTCAATTTGGGCTGCTTCTCGCAGGATAATATTTATCAACGTTCAAAGGTTCGAATTATTAGGAACCCTTTTCGTGGTTCGTACTATGGTTATCGGCGAGTGATACCCGTGCAGTATTGGAGTATTCTATGTTGCACAACTAACTGTGACTCTAAATTATTTATTGTAATGCGCCATATCATAGAAGCATACGGAAGGGGTATCCGCCGTTTTTTGTCCGCCGATAAAAGAATATCTCAAAGCTGCCAGTTTGATTTCGAGTGACAAAAAATGCACGTACGATGGTTTAATAGCGCAATAAAGGCTAATATGTGTATATTTCAACCATGTGATTAAGTATACGTCCCTGTTTGTATATCTGAATCGAAACACGTATGTGCTTTAAAGTCCACCGGCTACGTTGAAGAGTTGATGATAGAGACAAAGAATAAGTTCAGCCGGCGCCTGCACCCCCGTATCTCGCATTTAATACTCGCAGTCTCTGATACGATCCCCAAGTAACGAATATTTACTAAAAAAAACCCCTCGATAGTTGAGGAGATAGACTCGTACGACTCATGGAGCAGATATCAAGCGCAAAAAGCGTGAAAAGAAACTAAGTGTATCTACGTTCATATAATTCAAATTGCATATCCGAAATATATACCAATATATATATATATATGCCCGCCCACACAAGACTCTACAAGCATCACTTGAATATACAACAACTTGGCAGCTTGCTCACAGCAATCATGCGCGACATATATCAAACACCGACATACACCGATCATGAGTACTATACTACAATACACATACCTCATCAGCAACAGTATGATAAAGAGAAGGAAAGTAATCCGAGATCCTATGGGTCCCACGAAGTTTGGGTCATGCTTGGGCGCCGATAGCAGCGCCACTGTCACGAAGGCAATCCCAGAGTCTGTGGGTTGTTCGGGAGTAAGAAAGCAGCTGACTAAATAACGATACAGATGCATTGTATCGTCATGAATGAGGGTATAGGCATACGTACCCACGGTACGCAAGTCCCAGTCAAACACGCCAGTTCATGTACGCGCTACCACTTTTGTTCGGTTGAAATTATGCACAGATAGCCCATAGTTGCACTTGATGCAGATTGCAATTGATGCAGATATTTCACAGCCACAATCTAAAATAGACGCTTCATACATGAAAGGCGCGAATAGCTTATACCGTTAATCCTCATTTACACACTTGTCTATTTTGATATCAATCTCGTATCATACATTTGCTGGACTGAATTACTTTTATCTCGTACAAAAGATGAACATTTGCTCCAAATATCACGATTGTAACACGCATTTGATCACATCCTCGTACTCCTACACACACATTCGAACCCTCATAATCTGAACACCCCACACTCAAATCTATCCTCGTACTCTGAACACTACACACACACTATATCCTCCTTCTCCGATCACTACACAAATATACATATCCCCCTACTCTTGAAAACACTTACTTATCATTCCTACTATGAAAGCCTCAGTCAAAGTTTGCCCCCTCATGCCGCCGACAACGAACGAAACTCGTCCTTCCTGGGTTATATGCATCGCTCCCATTCCCCGAATAGTGCACCACATAAAGCCGCTGGTGAACACCACACAGGCAAAGCACACGGCCCACATACAGAAGGATGTCATCTGTGTTTGATTTTACAGGTGTTTTTGTTTCTAATATGTATATATTGGTGAAGATTGAGTGTGACAGGAGACAATAACTGCAACACGTGCAGCCACAGGTGAATACCACGCAGGCAAAGCATACAGAATTAAGCAATATGCATTAGCGTATATACATAATATATATATATATGTGTGTGTGTGTGTGTGTGTGTGTTTGGAAACTGAGTACGAGAGTAAACGAAATTGCACCATATGTAGCCGAAGATGAGCACCACACAAGATATGCATATGACTCGAATACAAAGAAATACCTAGTCAATTGGTGCTTGTAAAGATATGCCACCATTGTGTATCTATGAGGAATGAGTGTGACTCACGAATGTTGCACAACACGTAGCGCTTGAGAACCCCCTAGCACGAGACGCGCAAGGGTCACATGCAGGCATGTCATCTGTGTTTGTGTTGCCATATGTATAAAGCACTATTATGGTCCATATGGGTTGAATATGACAGTAGATACAATTTGCACCACGTGTTGCCACTAGCCCGCAAGCAGAGATGAACCAGTTGTATATTTATTTACACACTAATGCGCACTTTATGTAGGTGTGCAACAGTATATGCAACCATTGGTATATGGGCAAGCGTATGCCAGACCTTAGTTGCACAACACGTAGCAGCTGGGCCGACCGAGTGAGGTCACCACAAACATGGCATAGAAGATACAGGAGAGTACACAGAAGATTTGTAGTCATCCACGTCTTCAGCTCTCTCGAGCTGTCAGCACGAGCAGATATATACACGCGTACCCATATGTGAAGTGTATGCAGAGTGGCACGCGTGCGCTAATATATGTACTCGACAGATAAAACAACCTTGGCTCATAACCTATCAACCAGAAGTCAGGATCGTCCGGCTCCGCCACAATTATCAACGGTATTAAGAACTTAAGTGGGTCAACGTGCAGTACAAAATCGTCAGAGAATACTCAGACCACAGCGCCAATATGTACACGCGGTACATAGCTGTATCATTCAATAAGACTCTCCCATGCTTGGTATAAACGCATATGAGAACCCTTGGTCAGAAAGCATACATCGGATCAGATGCGAACAGTGACACGATCATTAAAAAAACCCGCTACACGTTGATTGCACGCGCCCCTGCACGTCTGTAGGGTGTTCCATGGTGGCATGCGGCGCTTATACATCCTATGCATTCCACAGACTAAACGAGTACACAAGAATGACATATATATGTATATATGCCACATACCACTGATCTATCCTATGCATTCCACAGAATAAACGAGTACACAAGAATGGCATATATATATATATGCCTCATACCACTGATCTTTGACTATTCCATCTTCGGCGCACCGCCTTCACGTCCATGCGCTGTGTGGCCCAGAAAAGCAGAGCTCCAAATCCCGTGACATACATCAGAGTCTTCAGATACAAGTAAGATTCACGTACTTTCGTAACCACCCAATCCGTAGCTGTCGGGGGCACGTAGAGATCGCGTGCATGACCCGTTCTCAGTATCAGCCATGCTGCCATGGATTGCGCGGTGATGCCTACCACACCGATGGGTCCGAGGTCGGCATAGGTCTGCTCTCGTAACGCTATGCGCGTGTAGTGTACGGTGTTGGGATTACACATAATCGCACAAATGTGTTTGTTCTGTGAAGATACGATGGGCATGAACAGCTGTGGTTCTGGTTGTTCTGATATGAATCTATGTTAAAGCTATGGCATGAAAGGTACGATGGGCAGCGCGTAACAAGCACTGGTGTCGCGCTATCGATAAACACGCACTGCTACTATGGCGACTGCAGTTTCGAATAAAAGTGCTGAGTCTGAAAGTGGTTTGATACTTCATTTTGCTGAGGTACACGTATGACTCGGGGCGTAATACATAAAAAGGACGGTGCTTAGAATCAATTCAATGCCTACGTTAGTACAATACTAACTCTCAACAACTCTAGAATAGTGCACGAGCAAGCCGGGCACTACTCTTGAGTACAAGCAGCAGATAGACACACGTGCTTGCGCGCAGTAGGAAACAAGGTATACTACTTGTAAGCTCCTTTCCATTTCGCACATACTCACCTGGAAAGACAGCGATAGTACCCAATTGCCTGATGCCTAAGCTGGTAAATGCCTTCGAGCTAGTTTTGATGTCCATCCATAGGAAGTGAATATGTGTTCCTTCGACAATAAAAGACTCATCGTCCTGAATATCGATATCGCTGCAATAATATTTCCGAGCACGTCATTGAGTTCACAAGTGATACAAAGATATACTAACAACACAGAACGATTCTCAGAGCTGCTCTATGTCGAGTCAGAAATGTTGATATAGACTATGGCCACGGGCGATAACAATCGATTTGAGGATCTATCAAATGTCTTAAATGCGATTTGCCCATACTGGCACGATCGTGTGGTTTGGTACATCTTAGTAGGTACATGTAAATCATTGAAGTGCTGTCATCAGCATATAGAATTTACGTACACGCCATCGAAAACGGCGGTTAGTTTCCTACTTGGTTAGATTGCTACATACTGTTATCTAATTTGCAGTACCGAATTGCTTTTTGGCCATGACGTTGGAAGTCGTACGGCAATTTTTGAAACTACTTAGACTGAAAAAAAATACAAGTAATTTCACAAATATACGACTGCTGAGACGTAGGTAAATTCAACATACGAGTTTAAGTCGTTATCGCACAGTCGTTAATTCAACTAAAACTGCACGTGTTAAATTCGTCTCTTGAATCAAAAAAAAACGAGATATATATATATATATATTATACATAATGTTTACATATATATGTATATGTATATATATATACATATATGCGATTTTTCTCTTTACATTATCTCTTACCTTTTGTGTTAGCTGCCCTAGTTATCGTACATTTATTAGCATTGCATGATGATGGAAATAATTTTATATATATATAATGTTTATATATATATATGTGTGTGTGTGAATGTGTGTGTGTGCATATGTGTGTGTGTGTATACAGATATATATATATATTACAAATAAATATAAAATAAATATTACAAATAATTATAATATAAATATGGTATGTATATAATATAAATATAAATATAAATATATATAAATATATACATACATACATATATATAAATATATATAAATACATACATATATATACATACATATACATATACATGTATATATATATATATGCGTGTGTATGTGTGTCCTCTGTTATGTGTGTTCTGCGTTCTGCTATGTGAGTGTGTATATGTATTTTCAATATTTAACCAGGAAGTATTGGCGGACAATATGTCTGTGGCAGACTCAGAGTCTATATACGGAGTCGAATTGTCCGTTCATGCGGAGAATCATATCGGGAGAACGAGCCAAAACCAAAGGAAAACAGTTTGTCACGAACACAGGTGATACTCAGTTTCGAGAATATCGCTTGTGTTCTTGACATACTTTTTCCCTCTAGTTTTGACGGTCTCTCCCGACTCGATTCTCGCGTAGAACTCAGTGCCCTCTACAGACATACTATCCGCCTATAACTGCTGTTCAAATATTGATAAATATATAAAATAAACACAAACACATAAGCAATATATATATATATATATGTATGCATGTGTGTATATACATGTATATATATAAATATATATATGAATATATATGTCTATATATATATATTAGTTATATAAACATGGTATGTCTATATAATATAAATATAAATATATATGTGTGTGTGTATATATATATATACATGTATATATATATAGATATATAGATAGATAGATTAATAGATATATATATATATGCGTATGTATGTGTGTCCTCTGTTGTGTGAGTTCTGCGTTCTGCTATGTGTGTGTGTATGTGTATGTATTTTTTAATATTTAACCAGGATGTATTGGCGGATAGTATATCTGAGGCAGACTCAGAGTTCTATGCCAATATCCGGAGTCGAATTGTCTGTTCATGCGGAGAATCAAATCGGGAGAACGCGCCAAAACCAAAGGCAAACAGTTTGTCACAAACACAAGTGATATACAGTTTCAAGAATATCGCTTGTGTTCTTGACATGCTTTTTGGCTCTGGTTTTGACGATCTCTCCCGACTCGATCCTCGCGTTCAACTCAGAGCTCTCTACAGACATATTATCTGCCAATAGATGCTGTTAAGATATTGAAGAAAAGAAAAAAATTACAATCACACACACAATATATATATATATAAATGCATGTATAAAAGTATATATATATATATATATATATCTTAAATATATATATATTAAAAACTATATGCTTATGGTATGTCTATATAATATAGATATTAATATTTATATATATTTATATATAGATATATATATATATAAATACACACACGCACACACACACACACAATATATATATATATA